TAAACTTATTTTGTTAAAACATAGAACAGTAAATAAAGAAGTAAAGCAAACAATTATCTCTTCTAGTTACAACCTTTATACTTGGTTGCTAAACCTTTTAAAATTATCTCTTTTTGTATTTAGTTTATGAGTTTACTTGAATATGAGTAAATGAAAATTTCGTTTTATGATTTATAGTAAGCTAATTACATTTTATTCCCTCTTTTAACTTTCAAACCACGAAATAAATTTTGCTGTTTTTTCTGTCATACAGATTTAGCAATATTGAAAGAAGCAAGTTGTTTGACTAGACTAGGAAATTGTATCTTATGGCATGATTTTATTATGTTATTTTTTCTTGTTGTTAGTATAGAAGGTAATTAAAAGAATTGTTCGGTTTAACTACAGGATCCTGCTGTTACACAAGTGACTGGACAAGCAAGACAAACTCCATCAAATTTTGAAGACTATAATCCTTTTGCAGATACTGGAAATCAGAACAGAGTTCCCTCTGTAAGTATCATGATGCCTTACAGTGTTTTGTATGAGAAAGTGCCAACTATTTTGGGAAAGCAGAATTTAGAATAAAGTGTACACCAATGTAAAATGTATAAACTGCAGAGTTTGGATAAATGGCATGTTTTCTGTTTTAAATAAATATCTCTCAATACTTAAGTTTATAGAATGCAATTTTCATCCTTTTGCACTCAAGCACTTGTTTTACAATGAGTTGAGACTTGCACTTTGTATATATATACTAGACTATTATACTTGCTCAGTAGTCCTAAAACATGCCAGTTTGAAATTAGTACTACTTCAAAAATAGGCAACATTTTTGAAATTGATATGCCTCACCCAGTGTTGGAGAGTTGAATTGGTGATTGTACGGGTAGCAGGGTGTAGGAATGGTGGTACATTTGCTCCAGGGCTCATCAAAATTATGAACATTTCTTTTATTTAAAAAGAAAATGATAAAATAACATTTGTCACTGAAAAATATTTCCAGTTGAGAGTTACTTTAGTGTTCAGTATTTATGAACAACTTTTCAGTTTGTCTCTTGCACTGTCTTGAGGCTGACTGTTTCATAATGAGAATAAGGTTTTATAAATCAATGCCAGTAAACGGCATGCTTACGAAAATATGTATCACCTGTTGTTTCAACAATAGTAACATTCAGAATTACTACAGTTGAGACATCTGATGTTTCCTACAATATTATATACTTATAGAAGAAAGCCATTTTTGAAAGGAAAGCTTGCTCATATTTTGAATGTGAATATAAAGACCTGATTGAGTTTTTATTTTGTGTTGATGATTTATTCATGTTGTGAATTTAAAACAAGATATGGCAATTTTGTGTTAGGACTTAGGAACAGCTGTAAATAGGAGAGGTGGGTGTGGGCATATGAAAATATTTTCTTTGAACCATTCAAACCAGTACTGTGCCACTGATAGATAGGTATGATGCAATGTCTTTATCTTATTATGGTCAGGTAAATATGTATTTTTTTCACGTACTTCCAATTGGTGGTCACAGGCATGAATACTAAGATATACGAGTCATTATGTATTATTAAGTAAAGAAAAACAACTGGAATTCATTCTGTTTAAATAATGTAGTATGTCATCTATCTATTCTTCCTTATCGGTATAAAAAATCTTAAGTAACCATGATTAATATCTGATATGTGCCACTCCCCAATGATTACCTAGGCAGGTGGTGAAAGTGAAATAGGTAAAGAACCTATAACATGAAAAATTAATTAGTTTTCTGCAAAGTTTTGCTGGTGTTGTTTTGAAATATAAGTAACATTTTACAATATAAATTTTATTAAATACCATATTTCAAACAAAACTATAAGTTGTCTTTGAAGACACTTATGCCCAATTATTTTAACTGAAATGTGTACATTAGAGAGAAAGCATTCTTATTTGTAAAAAAAGAACTCTGTAATAGCTAAACAACTTTGAAGTTATAACATTCTTATAGTTATAATTAAAGGAATGTTACAAGCAGGTGAAAAAAGTAGATATATTTTGAAAGACACTTGTTAACATTTATGTTAATAGACCCATTAATAAATAACTTATGTTTAAATGTATAAAACAGCTTGAGTATAAAAAGTAATTTTGTTTCAGGTTAAATAGCCATCACTAATTATTCTAATTAATTAACAGTGTATCCATGTAATAAAGTAAATGCAACTCTAAGGACATTTTATAAAATTTCATAAAACTTAGCATTAATGGGTCAGTTTATACCAATGTTTAAAAGCAGTAGAGCTATTTATTATAAATACAGAAACTAATAATATTAATATCCATGCTACTATTGTGAAATTAAAATGTTATCAAAGGTGAGGAGATGTTGGTGTATTACACATTTTTCTTTTTAAGTTTTTTTTGCAACTTTTATAATGTATCCACTGCTTTACATGTAAAAGTCTAAGATTTAATATTTCTTATATGAAAATACAAGGAAATGGTTGAACTTACAGCAAGAGATGAGGGTTATTTTACTGAAGTACTGATCAGATAGCTTTTCCTGTTACAACAATTTTAACCATCTCTTTGTATTTCCAGATGCTGTAATTACATTTGTTATTCAAGCCAATGTTACTTTTACATATCTGATAATGTGTCTTGCTGTACAATGGTTTTCTCGAGTACTTTTAATATTTACTGCTGCCGTACGGCAGGGGTATTGCTGTCACTCCTGTATGTGTGTAAACGTAATGACTCCAAGTTTTCATTTGATTTTGATCCAACGGTTGATACAAAGGTTGAGTGTCCCACAAGTTCCAATTATTGAATCTTGGTCAAAGGTCAAGATCACACTGAAGGTCAACCACTTTCATTATAATAGTACACTGTAACAAATTAGGAATTTGTAAAGTGGACAAAACTTGTGGAGAAGGCAAGATAAAAAGAGGATCTTGGCACCTAAACTTACATTTTTGAGAATGAGAATTTGTTTGATATATATTTCAGGTTGGTTACCACAAAAGTTAAAAACCATTGTGCCAGGGGTTATGGGTTATAATTACTAATTAGCTCTCAAAACCATTGTGGTAGAGGTTATGGGTTATACTCACTAATTAGCTCTCAAAACCATTGTTGCAGGGGTTATGGGTTATAGTTACTAATTAGCTCTCAAAACCATTGTGGTAGAGGTTATGGGTTATACTCACTAATTAGCTCTCAAAACCATTGTTGCAGGGGTTATGGGTTATAGTTACTAATTAGCTCTCAAAACCATTGTTGCAGGGGTTATGGGTTATACTCACTAATTAGCTCTCAAAACCATTGTGGCAGGGGTTATGGATTATACTCACTAATTAGCTCTCAAAACCATTGTGGCAGATGTTATGGGTTATACTCACTAATTAACTCTCATAGACAGCTAAGAATGTGATTATTTATAGCACAGCTGATTTATTAATTTTGGTGTAGAATGAATTAAAAACTTTATTTTAAGCAGCCTAACTAGACACAGAAACCTAACACGTATACTGATAGTACATGTTATCATAATTCAAGTCATGTCACTATATATGTTTGTTAATATATTTGTTCCTTGCAGATGAGCCTTAATGAGTACCTACAAATGTATTGTAATGTTTAAATAGGCTTTATTTTCTCAAAAGTGGAATATTATCTTAGGGCAAACTCTTAAAAACTTTTCAAAACAACACATATCTAATTCAAAGCAAATTGTTTAGTCAAGAAATTATATCGTCTATTGCTTGAAACTGAGAAAGGAATGAGAAGCACTAATTCTTTGTGCATTTTGAGGTTGTATTTTGACTTACGTAAACATGTCTTTATTTCAACAAAGTTATTCTATGTTCATTAATATTTACTTATAGGCAATTTTGAATCTTGTGTACTGTTCATTTTTTTTTCTGTGTGAGTGCGTGTTTGTATGTGTGTAAGCTGTTGAAATTCCTGAGTAACATAACTTTAAACTCTTAAATTTTTTAAATACATTAGTTTTGATTTGAAATGATTTATTGAAAGTGTCTGATGTTTGTGTGTTTACTCATAAGATTTTTGTTCATTCTTTTATTATACAGCAAGTACGTGGTGCATCTCACCCTCCCCAATATCAAGATGATCCACCTTCTGGTGAACCGGCAATTATAAAGCCTGTTTCTGAACCCCCACCCACGTATACACCATCAGCTTCACAGTCTGTTAATCAACAGGATCTCCAGAAACGTCAGCAAGTAAGTCTGGATGCACATTGTTCGCCCCCCCCCCACCTTCATTTTATATATTTACATATACTTAATATAAATTGTTTAACATTATTGTTGATATTTGTACATCATGTCAAAAAACAATAATATTGTAAGTTAATGTATGTAGAATAGGTGGTATATGGACCTCAGACATCATCAAAAGTGAAGGAGCCAAAAGCCACCTCAGTGAATATTTGTATAAAAGAGTTAAGATATTTGCTCAAATTTCACATAGATCAGAAAGCAATTATTCTGAAAATATTGAAAGTTGAGTTCTTATTTGAAAAACAAATTTCCAAAGTTTATTGTTTTCATTATCTAGTTAATTTAGTACAAGTTTTCTTTCCTGGTTGTCATTATACTGTAGCTCACTAAAAAGTTCAATCATTTTGTTGCAACTTTATTATCAGCGGTGGTCATTCATTATATAAAATGATTTTTTTAATAAAAATAAGATCTACACTAGCTGAATTTTTAGTGTGTATTAGGACATTAATTTGCAAGAAGTAAAAGTAATTTTCAGATTCATTAATTTAAGTATAATATTGTTGTCATTATATTGTTACATATTAAGTGTTATACTTAATATGTAACAATATAATGACAACAATATTATACTTAATATGTAACAATATAATGACAACAATATTATACTTAATATGTAACAATATAATGACAACAATATTATATTGTTGTATTCTATTGTTACATACTTTATCAGTACTTATTGGCCATTGTTGTTTTTCACATTTTTATTAATAGGTTTTTTTTGTTTTTCATTAGAAAGAAAGAAATTAATCACATTTTCAATATTTGTAAACATTTCAAGATCATGAAGTGTTTGTAAGTTTGTTGTTTTCAGGAGCTAGAAAGAAAAGCAGCCGAACTCCAGGAAAGAGAGCAAGCTTTAAGAAATGTTGGAACTAAAATTAAAAATGAAAGAAATTAATCACATTTTCAATATTTGTAAACATTTCAAGATCATGTAGTGTTTGTAAATTTGTTGTTTTCAGGAGCTAGAAAGAAAAGCAGCCGAACTCCAGGAAAGAGAGCAAGCTTTAAGAAATGTTGGAACAGATGGTAAGTTTATATCTTTTTTTAAGCACCTATTTTTATATTTCAATATCAAATAAGCTGAGAATTTGAGTGTACACAAATGGCCAAGGTCAAGCAAAACAGCTATCAAAATGTATAGTTGGATTGAAAAAATATTAAATATTTGTTTATCATATTTATGTTCTCACAATGTATATGTATTTCACGATAGTGAACCAGAGAAACTCATTATTGTCACTAGATCATTAATGATGATATTTAAACAAGATTCAAATAGTTAATTCTGTAGGAAGACCTAATTATTACCCATTTCCGAAGATCGTTTTGGTTTCCATTCTGAGTTAAAGATTGACTCTTATTACAGTTCGAGCAAATAATTGGCCACCTTTACCTGCCAAATGCTGTTTTGGACCTTGCTTTTATCAAGATATATCTGTGGAGATTCCCATTGAATTTCAGAAGACTGTGAGGACTGTGTACTACTTATGGATGTGTAAGTTTTGAACAAATGTTGTTTTACAATATGAAATTGAAAACTTTGTATCACTGATGTTTGATAATAAAAAAAATCTAAGTTTTGGACAAATGTAACTGATGGTAAGGAATTATCTCTTATCTACTTTTTGAAAATTTATGTAAAATTAACATGGAACTTGTAAATCAAAGCTGTAGAAATAAGAGACTGTGTGTTCAGTTTATTTAGCATAGTGAATGTGACAGATCCAAAACTACTGACAGTAATTTCTGTAGATACATTGTTGTTTTTTTGTTTTATATATATATATACCTGAAATATTTGTTTTTTGTGAAGAATCTCTGCTGTAATCTTATTTTGCTTTAACCTTACTATAATTTCAAGGTGGTTCTAAATCAAACTTTTGAAAACTAAAACTGTTTTACAGAGGAGGTAAAACTTTTCTTTTTTTTTTTAAGAACTTTCTACTAAAGTTGTTGGAATAAATATTTTCATGTACTTGTCAATCATGCATGAGATAAATGTTTTCTAGCTAAGAGAGAGACTTGGGTGATAGTTGCTTATTTTCCAAGCTTTATATCTAACCAGAAAGTGCTTCACAGACTATACAAGAATCCTGTTTTTTATAACTTGTTGTAAATCAAAGAATAAACCAACGGAAACAATGCGTGTAGTCTTAAGCATTTCCTCCTAAGAGCCAATATAAATATTGCATGACTATTTCTGAAATTATAATTTTTTTTGTTGATAAAGACTTATTTTCTCTCACCTAAGTTTGTGTATTGTTTTATGTTATTGAACTATTGATATATTTGGATTTAGATATTCGGTGACAAAAATATACCACAGATTCTATATCATTATTCTCACCTACATTACATATTGAAGTGTAAATTACTCAAATATCCGAATTTTACTTGATTTGAATTTCTTAACAAAAGCTGAGGTTCATATGGTAAATAATTGTAATTATTTGTTATGGTCTGCAGTCATTCTCAAAAAAAAAGAATGGGTATTATTGATTTGATTTTATATTTTTTGATTTTTTGTTTTACTGTATATTGATATTGCTACAGTTAGTGATAAGGTAGAGAAAATAAAGTATAAAAATTTTAAGGGATAAAAAAGTTTTCATATTTATTTAAGAGGTTCTAGAGGTTATGCAAATGAAAACTGTAAGAAAAAAAGTAATTTATTCTAAACATGAAAATCATCATTTGTTCTGACTGACTTAATAATAACTTTGTAAATCCACAGACAAATCTTTAGTAGAAATACTTTGTTAAAAAATTAGACTTTTTTGTGTACAGTACTTGTAACTTTTACCCAAAGTTTGCCCAATTTTTTTAAAATACACTTTAGTATCTTAACCTTATCACCATGGGTATCCTTTACTGCCCATGACACAAGGTTTTAGTGTTTTATATTCAAAATTTTATTAAACTACTTTTTGTTTATGTTATACCAGTTAGAATAGCATAAAATCTTAGCTAATAATCCATATTTTAATAGTATACAAGTTTTAAGTTCTTAATTCTACAAGGCAATATTTTAAAAAACCCTGAATTTCTCCTAGTGTGACCCATGTGACACATTTTCTCTTAGCATGTCATCTTCCCTATTTTATCCACCACCTCTCAAAAAAGTATGAAAGTAAACGTAAATTACTCTCTATAAAATCATCATTGATCAGACAAACCATAATTTTTTATAGTGTTCAGTTTTCTTTGGTTACAGAGCTATTGAATAAAAAATTAGACCCCTCCTGCCACACCTACCTGTCACATCCTATCTCTCAGAATTGTTAATAGTTCTCTCTTACAGTTAATTATATATTATCTATAACTAATGGAAAGTCAAGGTTTTTATCTATCAAATGACGTATTGTATAACGTTATGTTCTGAACAATTAAATGTCAGTTTCACTCAGAGTATCAACATTGTTCCAGTGAGAAAGTTAACGACTAGTTTGGATGAATTTGTAATGACTCTTGTCATAGTTAGAAAGCCAGAAAAATTTTGAGAGGTAAGAGAATTTGTCTACTTTTTGCATGTTATTAGTCTATATTATTTGGTGGATTATTTAATTAAATACAAATTATTAAGTGCATTATGATCGTTAGTATAAAAAATTAGGGTTGACTCTTTTCGACAATACACAGCAAGAAGAAAAAAGAAGATTGGTCAAGTATTTTATTTCTTGTTCTTCATGTTTATTCTTTATGTGTAATTATAAAAGTAACTAAATGTAACAATAGGAATCCTTTTAGGTTAGTTAAGATTAGATGAGATGAGATAAAATAAATGATAATATTATAATAAAAATGTTTCATGAGGCACACATGTGAGCAGCTCAAAGAAACTTGTGGTTAATGTGATTCATTAGTGAAATGTGAGCTGCACGTTCCCCGAGTGATTTACAACTTATAATGGCACAGATAGTAGTTACACACGTCAAAGGGAAATAAAACAAAATTTAATTATAAATAGATGTATAGTGTTACAAAGTTAGAGCTACTTAGGATAAACGAATGTAGTTTCATGTTACAATTTGAAGTCATTCTAGAAATAAAAAAGGTAACTTGGGTTTAGTTTGATTTTTTTTTTGGTGGTTACGAGGTCTATCAATTTGACCGATTCCATTTTGAGATAGGGTAGAGAAAATAACAGATAAACTATAAAATTTTCATGAAAAACGTTTGAAATGCATTTAGGAGGTTTTAGGGATTACACAAAGGAAATTTGAGAATTTTGAGATGAGGAAAAGTATTTTTAATTTTAACATGAAAATTGCTTTGCACACAGACTATTAAAAACAAATACTCAATATATTCATGGACAAATGTTTATTTTATTAAAAATGCTTTACTAAAAATATGATTTTTTAAATGTGCAAGGCTTATCATATGAACTGAAAGACTGTCAAATCACACACACACACACACACACACTATATTGAAAGTTAGAAGTATTAAATCTATAAAGACTTTAAACAAATACAAAGAGGTCACAGGGTCGGTCAAATTGGCATGAAAAGCAACAAATGAAATGGGAGAGCTTGGGGTAAACAAATGATCCAATTACAGAATGCAACATGCATACTTCCAGCTTCCATATTGACTGATCTCATGAAAATGTTTGCTTTTTTTTTCATTTAGGTTTTATCTAATCTAAAAGTTTCTTATTTTTACATTTGTTACTTTTTGTTAAAAATATGTAACAATAAATTAAAAATTTACCCCCAAAAAAACTAAAAATTCTGCAGATTGTTTAATAATAAAGGCCATTTGTACTTGGAGACCATGTTTCAGTAAACCTACTTTTTTATGTGTTGATTGTACAAAACATAATTCATGTAGTTTTTCAAATATACATTTTAGAACATAAAAAATAATTTGGGTACTAGAATCAAATGTCTCAAAACTACTATAATTTATCTGACTTTCTAACTAAGCTAGAAATAAGTTCAAAATTCTATTATTGCTCGGAGCAATGGCTTCACTCAACACTTGTCAAGCTTTTCTTGGGAACTGTCATACTTGTATGCCAAAACTAAAAACTTAAGATTCCTGTATATTACAATATTCCCTTTTTTGTAGGTTATAAGCATGTTTATTAGACAAGTAGGCATGTGAGTATAATTGGTTTGAAATACATGAAAAGATTGAAGGTGCTTCTCTGGTGGGTTGTTTGACAAATCTGTTTATCTCAGCAAATCAAGAAAGTAGGAGGTTTAAATTTTTATTCATTCTTTTCAGTATGTGTAGTTTGTTTCTAAATGGTTGGACACTATAGTAGCTGTATTGTTGATGTTATAAAATCTAAGTGGGAGTGATAAGAGGGCAGATGTATTGTGACAGAATAGTGAAGATTATGAATTTTTTAAACATTTTCTTTTGGAAATAAGAAAATAAAACTTAAATAATATTAAAACTTGAATTATTAACTACATTTGAATGCCCAGTTTATTGTTATATGTTTTTAATGAAGTTATTTGATTAAATTTTGAATGTAGCTCTAAAGAGGTCATGACATTCACACTGCAAGGTCAATGAAATTGACAGAGCCCATGTACATAGGGTTGAAGCTAAGGAATACATTTAGACTATTTGTATCAAATATGAGAAATATAAAAGAGTTGAGATGTTCAATAAAACATTTACTGTAACTTGACATTCTATAAGTTGTTGAATTATATTTACATTTGGGTATTTCATTTTTTAAAGTTCAAGTTAAATCAAAGAAATCTTGTAAATGTTAAGATTCCTTTACATATTCTTCATTCAACTTCAACCAGCGTATTGTATATAAAAATGAAATTATCACTCTAGGAATTTAAAGCATAATCCATTTTGATGTAGGTTTACTGACTTTAAAAATTAAAGTTTTAATTTTGGTTGAATGAAGTTATCCTTAACTTTATTGTACATTGGATTAAGACTAACATCTTTTATTTTTTTCTTTCAGTTTACTTTTGCGTTCTGTGTTTGAATGTGATTGGTGCTTTTGCCATGTTTATAACTGTTGGTGGTGGAACTACTTTTGGATTTGCCCTTCTAGCCCTAGTCCTCTTCACACCACTTTCATTTCTCTGCTGGTTTCGGCCACTGTACAAAGCTTTCAGGTAATAGCTGACTTGTTTTGTTATGAAATTATGTAGTGTAACATTGGTGAACTATTTTAATATTTAGTTGGAAACTCTTGTATGTAATCCACCCCACAATAATTTAGACCTGCTTGAAAATAACAGCAATTTTAGTGTTTGACGTTACATCCAGGGCATTTAAAAATGAATGATCTTTAAGGGAAAACTTTTCTCCAAAGAAATACCCAAAAGGTCATTGTAATTTGCTTGTTTGTATAACTAGAATTTTTTATAATAAAAATTCATCATAAATATGAAAATGATACTTTAGTAACTTAAGAAAAACAAATATAAAACACTTTACTACACAAACTGAAAAAAAAAATCACTTCTGAGTGAAAACAAAAATGAATTGTATCATTTTTCAACCATATTACTCCTGCTGTCTACAGTATTGACAAGGCCTTCACCCAGTACTACAACTGACATTGTGAGTCAATTTTCCCACTATTACCCCTCACATATCAGCTTTATTTGTTTATTTTTTCACATCTTTTCATTCTGCATCTCTCACTTACATTATTTCTTTACAAAAATTGATTCACCATTATTGTTACATCACACTTCGAACCACGATTCACACATTCTCCTATTGTTACCTTTATTTTGATGATATTCGAATGTGTTCTAGATACACAACTTGGGTTAAGGCCAAAAACATTGTGCCAATTTAAAATTTTCCTAGATTTTATTACCATTGTATCTTGTGTGTGTGTTTTTTTCTTTCTTAAACATATTAGTGGTCTAATAAGGTGCTGTTTATATCACCAATTTTAACGGACAATAATTATTATGGTGTGAACTAGATAGAGTTGTAATTATGATCAATTTTATTTAAGTCATTTAACACTAGAGTTTTGGAGTAAAGATTAATAATACAATACTTTTGTATTTTTCAACACAAAGTATTTATTTTGATGTTAATAAAAGGGACATTAAATATATTTTTCATTAAAAATACTGAACCATAGAATGTTTGTTTTACTCTTCTAGGAGTGACAGCTCCTTCAATTTCATGGTTTTCTTCTTTGTATTCTTCTTTCAAACCATCATTGCTATCCTGTATGCCATTGGAATACCAGGGATTGGTGGATGGTGAGATTATATCTTCTTTCTTTACCATTAATCATTCTGTGTGGATTACAAATTCTCTCTTAAAGTTGTATCAATGTTTAATTTGTTCTCACTTCTTGATGTGGGAACTATTATTCTATACATAGACATCTAACAATGGACCCCACTTTTTTTTTTTTCTACAGCATAAACACACAATTTTGTAAACACCCAATGAAAAGCTTACCTTTTGAGAAAATTGTCTTAATTTTAACAAATTCTTAACTCTCCTTATATAGGATCATTTTGATCAACCTTGTAACTGCCATGTAATCATTAAATTACACTTTCTATAACTTTAAGTGTAGCTTCATGAAGTTTGGAGTAAACATTACAAGGCTGTTGTACTCAAGAATCAGATTTTTTAAATAAAATATTTCTATGAAAGACTTGTCTGTGAATTTACAAAGCCCATGCTCAGTAAGTCTGAGGACAAGATAATTTTCATGTTGAGAATGAAAGTATGTTTTTGATCGTACAGTTTTCAGATTTAATTTACATTATGTCTAGACCTGTCCAAGTGAATATCAAGTGTGTTTTTTTCAGTAAAACTGTATTTTATCTGTTATTTTCTTCACCCTAACACTGCTTACAGGCTCTGCCCAATTGACTGACCTTGTAACCATTACAAAACAATATTATATATATAAATTGCCCTTTTTAGAGCTAAAGGTAATAGAATTTTAGTTAGTTTTATTTCTTCAAAGTTGCATTTAGATCCTCTCAACTATGGTGATAGCTATTTATTTTATCACACAGCTTTTTGTAAACAATGGATCCAGTTACCAGCAAACTCAAATTACACAACTGCTCTCGCACCTGGCCCTTGCTGTCACTAATCATGACTATTTTGTTTATTTCATTTAAAATTCCTTATCTAACCTAATAAGTTCCTACTTTTTACATTTTAGTTCCTTTAACCCTTCTAATATGGGTGGGTGTGTTCCACCAAGTACATAATCCCGAAAGTAACCATAAAGCAGTTATACTGTAACTTTTTAAAATGTACACGTATTTTCATGAAATTTTGCAGATTATCAGTAAACATTACAACGGATTCGTAAACAAAGTATCTGGTTTTTTAATTAAGTTTTAACATTTTTTATTTTCTAATGTTGAGCATCCAACACAAATTAATATTGATTGTAAAATTAAAAAATATTTCTATGCATCAGAAAATTGTCAATTTCACATGCAAAATCTCTCTAACCTCATAATAATGCTCCAGATAATTACATCTTATCTGTTATTTGCACTGTGTGGGTTTGGTCGATTCAACCAACCTTGTAACCACCATAAAAAAAATAGGACATTAATATAAATTACACTTTTTTTTTTCATTCTAGAATTACTACAAATTATAACACAAAAGTTTTTAGTCTTAAATAGTTTAAATCTCATAACATTTTACATATATAAAAATTTATTATTTTTATTTTATTGACCTTTCAGTAGTGCCTGACTAACATCATAGAAGTTGAATGATGTGGCACACGTGCACTCATGTTACTGTATCCAATCATATAAAACTAGCCTTTATAAAGTGACATGTCTTGGCTGTGTTGTAGTGGCCCAGTATTTTGTAAAGTACAATCACATTTTGGTTATAATACATTACATATGTATATATATATTCTTACTATTTACAAATGTGTTCTTAAATTTTAGTTATTTTTCTTAAAACAGTAAATAAAGAAGTATGGGAAAACAATTATCTTTTCTAGTTACGAACTTTGTACTCATTTGCTGCTTGCCATAATTTTCTAAGCCTTACCAAATTTTGTGAGTGGAAAATGTAAAACAGAATAATTTTTTTATGTTTTATATATACATTTTGAAATAAACAAAAAAGCATAAATTACTATATAATACCACATTAAGCATCTGTTTAAAGTCCAAGATGTACCATCACGCAAGTATCATCCACAGGTGTATACGTCGAGCATCATAAGATATTTTAAGATCTAGTTTATGGATTGTTAATGTATTGTAGAAGATACAATATGTAATCTGGTAATACATAACATTAAATATATTTTGTGAAATAGTAAGTCGTCGTGTTAAATATCACGATATGTGGAATGGTTACACATACTAATTGTATTTTATGAAGTGTTATCATAATATTTCTTGTTTAACTGTTGTATTTCAAACTTTAGGTCATCAAGAAATTAATGTTGCATATTGGAACACTTTCATTAACCCCCCCCCCCCAAAAAAAAAAAAACTTACGTCATGTATAATAGTTAAACGAACTGCCTAAACGTCATGTTAGTGTAGCCTATATAATGGAAAACTTAAATCAAGTCCTTCATCAGAAATGCTCTTCACTTGTAAATCGGAAAGGTGTTCTTTTTTTCCTTAACAGTGTACGTCCACATGTGGCACATTTGATGCAACACAAGGTAATGGAATTGGTTGGGAAGTTGTCCCCCCACCCACCATATTCTCCAGATATTGTATTTTAGATTACCATCTTTTTTCGTTCGCTGCAACTCAGTCTTAATGGGAAAACATATGCAAATGTGGTGTTAAAGAGGACATCAACATTATTTTTGCTTCTGAGCCAAGTGATTTCTTTAACCAGGGCATTAACAACCTGATTGTAAGATGGAAAAGCATCATCGATAATAAATGTTTTGGTTTGATATATAAGTTGTTTGGGTTTTTTCAACTAAAAAAAAGCTACATTAATTTCGTGATGACCTAATATATTGGACTTTCTATGTGGTAAGCTTTTGAAGAATGGCGAATTGATAATACATTATTGTAAACTTAGTTTGTTGAATGGTGACACATGTTTACCCTTTCAAGATGGGTCATGAGTGAAAGGCCATGTCATCTCATTTGTTGACTTGCATTCAAAATTTTATTGAACTACTATTTCATGAATTTATGTCAATAAGTTTGGCATCAAACTGTAGATTGTAATTCAAATTTTAGTACTATACATAACTCAATTTCTTAATTTAAAAGTAAGTATTAAAAAAAACACAGATAAACATCGATTTTTGTGTGTGATGTGGTGTGTTGAATGCAGTACTGGTTCAAATTAGATGTTTGTAAAGTCAAAATACTAAGTCTATAGTTTCGTACAAATTAGAAACTCAAATTACCGAGATTGACAAGCTAGGATATAAAATAAAGTCTTATCTTTTCAATTTGATAAGATATTGCTTATTTAATAAATCAAACACAGTGGCACTCTGCCCACCTCTTTCCATTTTTGGGAATGCTCTCTTATATACACTTCTATATATGACATGAATAACCAATAAAAAGCTCAGAATGTCCCCTAGTGGCTTTCTCAGCCATTTTCAAATATAAAGTCGTTATATCTTTTTTATCATTACAAAATATCATAGAGGTAAGTCAAGTCTTTATTCTGCTCATATTTCATATTGTTTTAGACCCAAATACAACCTTGTTACTAAAATTGATAAATTATAATTGAGTTTTATGGTATTAATGTAGTAATTTATGATTTTTGGTTATTTAAAACTTATATATAAAACCTAAAGAAAATTTTTTCATATCCTCCACGTGCAAAATTTTTAAAGGCTTAGCAACCTATGTCAGTACAAAGGTCGTAACTAGAAGAGATAATTGTTTGCTTTATTTACTGCTCTATGTTGTAGGAAAAATAACTGTAAGGACTTATTTCAAAATAGCAATAATCTATATACATATATAATGTATAATAATTGATGTGACTGTATTTTACAAAATACTAGTCAACTAAAACACAACCAAGACGAGTTACTTTGTACAGACCAAAGGTCACCTTTATGTTATTTGTTACGGTAACATGAGTGCACATGTGCCGTATCATTGTATCTTCTGTATTGTTAGCCAGGCATGGGTGAAAGGTCAATATAATAAAAATAATAAATATATATATAAATGTATAATGTTATGATTTGTTGTCATTCTGGAATGAAAGAGGCATAATTTATATTTATTTCCTATTTATTTTATGGTGGTTATGAGATCGGTCAAATCTACTGAACCAGTACAGAGGTTCATTAGTGAAAACAACAGATAAAATATAGAGTTTTTTCTTAAGAAACATTTGATAATTATCTGGACATTATAAAGATTTCGCATTTGAAATTTGAAAATTTTCTGATGCATAAAAGTATTTTTAATCTCAAAATGAAAATTGCATGATAGATTGGCAACATGCAAAAAGAAAAAAAAGCATGAGAAAAAAATTGCTTTACAAACCTTAAGACATAATTAAAAAAGAAATTGGCATTTTGTTTATGTGAAAGCATTGTAATGTTTACTGATAATCTGCCAAATTGTGTTAACATACGCTTACTAATTTAAAAGTTATAGCAGGAACACTATAACAAGCACAAAATGGTTACGAGTTCAGTCCGAGGGACCAAGCCCGTACTGAAAGAGTTAAGTATGTTTTATAGAGATATTACACACTGCATAATTTATTTTGTGATTTGGAATGCATCTCATTTAACATACTGTATTTGTTTATAATACACTGTTTTGCCAGAAGTATCTTGATAACATAGTCCAAATTCTGTTACTCGTTGTTGATGGTCTGAACAAATGTTGTTTTTCTGCAAGGAATGCTCTTAGCTAGACCCTAACAAATTTTTGATACAGTTTGTCTTCATTTTAATTTGAAAATTTACGTTTTTCTGCAGGCTCATTAAGGATTCACCCAAGTTAGAAAGATGGAGTAACACTGTTGTGACTATAAATATTAGTACCAAACCTTTGGCCAAGTTAGAAAGATGGAGTAACACTGTTGTGACTATAAATATTAGTACTAAACCTTTGGCCAAGTTAGAAAGATGGAGTAACACTGTTGTGACTATAAATATTAGTACCAAACCTTTGGCCAAAACTGGTATATTTCCACAGCACTTCCAAATGTGTTTCTAAATAATGTTACATCACGTTAAAAAAACAGCAGTTTTTTATCGGCTAGATTAAAGATTAGTAGGCTATCAAAAAGTGGTAAAATTAATGTTCCTCTGCTTGTTGAAAATGCAAAAAATATTGTAAACAAAGGAGCACAGGAAGGGTAACTGGAGCACAAATATATATTTTTTAATTCTTCTTGTTTTGAACATTTTAAGTACTACAAGTGAAATTGAAGATTATCTGTTCAGAATACAATGTAATATAATGTCATTTGGCTTTCTACTGGTTATAGGTAATATGTAATTAAATGTTTAACAATTCTGAAAGAATAGGACAGGTGGGTGTGGCAGGAGTGGTCTGATTTTCTGTTTGATAGCTCTAACTAAACAAAATTGAAGGTTATAAAAATTATGGTTTGTCTGAGCAATGACGGTTTTATAGAGAGTAATTTACGTTTGATTTCGTACTTTTTTCAGGGGTGGTGAATAAAATAAGAAAGATGACATGCTAAGAGAAAATGGGTCACATGGGTCACACTAGGGGAAATTCAGGATTTTTTTTAAAATAGTGCCTTATAGAATTAAGAACTTAAAACTTATACACTATTAAAATATGGATTATTAGCTAAGATTTTATGTTACACTAATTGGTATAACAAACAAAAAGTAGTTTTATAAAATTTTGATTGTAAGACACTAAAACCTTGTGTCATGTGCAGTAAGGGATACCCATGGCAATAGAGAGGTTTTGTTCCCATGGAAAAGGCAATGACTAGCTTGGGTTCATGTTGCATAGTTAGAAAGCCAGAAAAATTTTGATTGTTAGAGGAAATTGTCTGCTTTTTCCATGTTATTATTCTATGTTAGTTTGTGCATTATTTAATTAAATAAAAATTATTTAATGCACTACTACCATTAATGTAAAAAACAAAGTAGGGTTAAGTGTCATTGTTAGTAACAGCAAAAAAAAAGAATACTTGGGTAAGTACTTTATTTCTTGTTTTTCATGTTTATTCTTATGAAAGTAACTAAAATGTAAAAATATGAATTTCTTTAGGTTAGTTATGGTTAGATTAGGTGAAATAACTAATAATGATATAACAAAAATATTTCATGAGGCATGCACACGCAGCAGCTTGGCGTAGCTAGTGGGTAAGTTAATTCGATAGCTTAACATGAGCTGCAGGTTCCCCAAGTGATTTACAACTTATAATGGCATAGCTAGTAGTTAGACACGTTCAAAGGGCAATAAAGCAATAAAATTTAATTATCAATAGATGTATGCTGTTACGAGTTTAAAGTTGTTTAGGATAAATGTAGTTTCATGTTACAATTTGAAGTCATTCTTTTGTTGTTGTTGGTCATAAGGTTGGTGAAATTGACCAACTGTTAGAGTTAGGATAGAGAAAGTAACAGATAAAATATAAAATTTTACAAACATTTGAAATGTATTTAGGAGGTTTCAGAGATTACACATATAAAATTTGAGATTTTTTGAGATGAAGAAAAGTATTTTTAATCTTAACATGAAAATCACTTTGCACATGGATTATTTAAAACAAATACTCAATATACTTACAGACAAATCTTTGTTGTGGTTTATGTGAAAGACTTGTAATGTTTACTGAATGACTACAAACTTTTGTGAAGATATACATACAATATTAAAAGTTAGTGGTATGAGATCTATAAAGACTTTGAACGAATATAAAGAGGTCACGTGATCAGTCAAATTGACCGAGCCCATATATATATTATGTATATATGACTGTGGACAGCAATTTATGATTAAAATGATCAAATATATATAAAAAGTTGTATAAAAGTGGAATCTTTAAATATGTGTAAAAGTTGATAAGTTAAACAAGAAAAAATTGGGGAATACTTGTCCCCCTCCCTTTTGGTGCAGTTGGAACAAGCAGCAGCATGATGTAAAAGGGGGGGGGGGGAGCCAAGTATTCCCCCATCTTGAGGGGGGGTCGGTTTACATATACCAGTTCTTGGTTTATTTCAATTTTTTTTTTGTGGTTACGAGGTCGGTCAAATTGACCAATTGCATTTTGAGATAGGGTAGAGAAAATAACAGATAAAATATAAAGCATTCGTGAAAAAAAAACGTTTGAAATGCATTTAGGAGGTTTTAGGGATTATACAAAGGAAATTTGAGATTTTTGAGATGAGGAAAAGTATTTTTAATTTTAACATGAAAATCACTTTGCACACAGACTATTCAAAGCAAATACTCAATATATTCATGGACAAATGTTTATTTTATTAAAAATACTTCACTAAAAAATATGATTTTTTGAATGTGAAAGGCTTATAATATGAACTGAAAGACTGCCAAATTTTGTGAAGATATATACACTATATTGAAAGTTAGAAGTATTAAATCTATAAAGACTTTAAACGAGTACAAAGAAGTCATGGGGTTGGTCAATTTGACCGACCCCATGTTGAGAGTTAAAATGCAAAGTTGTTAGACAGAGCATGAATAGATGTGGCTACCTCAACTGTAATGATGTGGTGAGGCTCCACAATAATTCTAATATAATGTACTCTCAGGATTCATGTTTGCAACGAGTTCACAGTGACTTTAGTGCATCCAATGTGGTTATGAAAGAACAAGTCACATCTCTGAACAGTGTAGCATGATTTCCATGAATGGGATTGCTCTACTAAATTACCCTTTTTTTTCTTTCGTAAATGACTTCAAGTTGTAACATGAAACTACATTTCTTTATTCCAATTAAATTTTATTGTTTTATTGCCCATTTGAACCGTGTCTAACTAGTATCTGCATCATTTTAAAGTTGTAAATCACACAGGGGAACGTGCAGCTCACATTACGCTATTCAATTACATTACCCACGAGTTGCTCACATGCATGCCTCATGAACCATTTGTTACTTGTTTTACCTAGTCTAGTCTGAAATAACTTAAAGATCTTTATGTTTAGATTTTTAGTTACTTTTATAATAATAACTAAAGAATAAATATGAAAAACAAGAAATAAAGTACTTACCCAATCTTCTCTTTTCTTGCTCTTGGGTTTCGAAGATAGTTAACCCTAATTTTTTATACCATAGATAGTAATGCACTTAATAATCTTTATTTAATTAAATAATGCACCAAAGAATATAGACTAATAACATGCAAAAAGTAGACAAATTCACTTACCTCTCAAAATTTTCATATCTTTCTAACTATGCGACAAGAGCCGTTACAAATTCATCCAAGCTAGTGGTTAGTTTTCCCAGGGAATGAATCTTGTACTGTGAGTGAAATTGATGATATTCTGTTCAAAATACAAAGTTATATGATACGTCATTTGATAGATAAAAACCTTGAGTTTCTATTGGTTATAGGTGATATATAATTAAATGTAAGAGAGAACTATCAACCAATTGTGAATGAGGATGTGACAGCTGGATGTGGCAGGAGGGGTCTGATTTTCTATTCGATAGCTATGTAACCAAACAAAATTGAAGGCTATAAAACTTATGTTTTGTTTTGCTAATTTTATAGAGAGTATTTTACATTCAATTTCGTACATTTTCGAGGGGTGATGGATAAAATAGAGATGGTGACATGCTAAGGCAAAATGTGTCATGTGGGTCACAGTAGTGAAAATTCAGGATTTTTTAAATATTGCCTTGTAGAACTGAGAACTTAAAACTTGTGTACTATTAAAATATGGATTATTATCTAAGATGTTATGCTATTCTAATTGGTATAACATAAACTAAAAAGTAGTTGAATAAAATTTTGAATGTACGACACTAAAACTTTGTGTCATGCACAGTAAAGGGTACCCAGGGCAACAGGGTTAACAATAGCCCGGCAGTGTAGCTTCTATTGCAAAAGGCTCCCATATCAAAAAATACATTACTCCTCCATGTTATCTTCACTATGGTTAGTCAGTAACATCCAGAACCTTCCAAGAGTAGTGATAAATGAAAAGTCTTAAATAATACTTTTAGAATGTATTAATGGTTATTAAAGTTTGCCTTTTTTTTAAAGCAAGACTGAGTTACATTTATTGTAAATGACTGGTGCAAAATATTTGTTTTAAATCTATTTCAATTTGAATGATAGTTAATAAAGTTGTTGTGTTTAAATTTTGTATGTGTTGAGTCCTTGAAGGTACAGGTATTTATGCTCATGTGGCAATTAAAAAAGGCTTAATTTCTTGGACCTTTTCAGTGGCATTGTGAATGGTCTGGCCTCCTTGCAAAGTCGACCTGTGACGATGAGCAATTATGCTGTAGGAGGGATTGTTCTGGTCATTGGATTCCTATGGGGTGTGGTAGCTGTTACCTCATCCATCATGTTGCTTAAGGTTCAGTTGGAACTCTTTAACACTGAAACTTATTAGTAATGTGTTAAGTTGTGATACTAAAATTTTTATAACAACACATTTCATGTTGTTTTTGTTTTATAGATGGTATCTTGTTCTCCAACAAGAAATTACCATGCCTGATGACTGAAGATGCATCTTTCACAATTGCTCTTTACTCTCGACTTTCAGGCTTCAAGTTGCATGAAGTGATATAAAATAAGACTGATGAGCATAATTAGCTATTTTTTTTTTACACAGTTAATCCTGGCTGTATTCTGTTTTTAAAAATTTCTTTTGCTAACCTTTACTTTTTTCTTGTTATGCTTAGATGGAAAGCGATACTACTAATGCACTTTTTTTTTGCTATTTTAGGTAACCCTTTATTTAATTCAGTTGCATGATGACTTTGAATTGCATGTGCTATAATTATATTTTACTCTTTTCTGTTCTTCGGATAGTGGCTTTATCCAAGGAATACAGAACATAGATTCCCATTTAGCCCTTGCTATATGTATTCTGATTGTTGCAGTTCTCCATACTATTTATGCCTTTGTGTCATTTCTGACGATTTTAAAGGTAAATTTCTGGTATTTTACTAACATTTCAGCAGTCCTCTGTTAACAGATTATTTTATAGATCAACATTTTTTCACTTTATGAATAGTTAAAAATTTTTGTTCTCTGTTATTGGAGTGTTTCAACATTTAATAACACTTTCAAGACACGTTATTGATCATTTTGTAATCATTATCGGATATATGTGAAACTTTGTTAATACTTTGATATTTTAGTAAACTTTATTAGTAGAATATTTTTCTTTGAATCAGCACTTTTAGTAAATTCTAATTAATTATGTTTTAAAAATTTTAGAGATACCAGGTCTGGAAATAGTAGTGTTATTTTCATCAACCATAAAACCCATTTTTGGTCAAATGTTTTTTAAATTTGGAAAGGTATTTCAGATTACGTTGTGTCATATTACTGAGCATATATATATATTTATGAAATATGACAAGGTCACCTAGAATGAAAACAAAATCAATTCAGAGTTGCATGTTTGCTCTGTAACCTATAATTAAAAAAACAAAAAAAACTCAACTTATGCTCTCAAGTATCTCAACATTAATTTTCCATATGTAATATTTAAAGCTAGACAGTTTTAAGATTTTTTTTTACATACCATGCAAAACAGAAACAGCATTTGAATCCAGACTTTTGGTTTAAGTTGTGTTTGTAATGTGCACTCGTATATATTAGACATTTTTTTTTCATTTGTTAGTAAATCAAACCAAACATGCTGACATTCACTCATAGTATGATAAAATATTGTCTTTTTTTTTCTATAATAGGTCACCACATTTATTTACATTAGCATCTCCACATTTGATTAAGTATCTCCAGTTGTTTAAGACGGGGGATACAAGGATACCTTATAATTCTTAATATGTCCAAATAAACTACCAACCATTGGCAGTTACTGACTTGTTGATCTTGGCTGTGTGTGGTAACTCTGACAATATACATTCACCATGTTTGGAGGCCTGCTGTTATTAATTAAGGGAACATTTTTAAATTCACACACTATTATCCATGCTTACATGGTATTATCTTCCATGGGTAACACTTATTTAAATTCATACACTATTATTCATGTTTACGTGGTATCTTCCATGGGTAACACTTAATTAAATTCACACACTATTATTCATGCTTACATAGTATTATCTTCCTTGAGTAACACTTATTTGAACCCAAGGAAGATAATACCATGTAAGCATGAATAATAGTGTGTGAATTTAAATAAGTGTTACCCAAGGAAGATAATACTATGTAAGCATGAATAATAGTGTGTGAATTCAAATAAGTGTTTCCCAAGGAAGATAATACCATGTAAACATGAATAATAGTGTGTGAATTTAAATAAGTGTTATCATGAATAATAGTGTGTGAATTTAAATAAGTGTTACCCAAGGAAGACTTACATGGTATTATCTTCCTTGGGTAACACTTATTTGAATTCACACACTATTATTCATGTTTACATGATATCTTCCATGGGTAACACTTATTTAATTTCACACACTATTATTCAATAACACTTATTTAAATTCACACACTATTATTCATGTTTACATGGTATTATCTTCCTTGGGAAACACTTATTTGAATTCACACACTATTATTCATGCTTACATAGTATTATCTTCCTTGGGTAACACTTATTTAAATTCACACACTATTATTCATGTTTACGTGGTATCTTCCATGGGTAACACTTATTTAAATTCACACACTATTATTCATGTTTACGTGGTATCTTCCATGGGTAACACTTATTTAATTTCACACACTATTATT